AGTGACATCAGCCAATGCTCCTTGGTGACTGAGGAGTGTGGTGACACTCTGGGCACATGCTGCAGAGCCACCTAGTGGAGGTGCTCCCCTCCATCCATCCGGGAATCTGCTGAACTTGAAGCTGGATCTGTGGTTAAAACATCTTCAGCACTTAGCAGAGTCCTGAGAACGTTGGTCTCTTGGTTCAACTATTCATCCTGTTTGAAATCAGAATCCCAGAGCTGCTGTGTTCACGCAGCAAATGTGTCTGATGCTCCTGATGATTGCACATGCACCAAACTGAGGGCAGCGTTCTGAGGGTAGCGTTCTCTGCATTGCAACACAAACGTTTGGTAATCATGGTGTCTTAGTTAGGGTTTCTTTGGATGTGAAGAGAACCATCACCATGGCAACTCTTAAAAAGAAAAACATTTTGTTGAGGCTGGTTTACAGTTCAGAGGTTTAGTCTATCGTCACGGTGGGAAACATGGCAGCATGCAGACAGGCTGGAGAAGGAGCTGAGGGTTCTACATCTCGATCCGCAGGTGACAGGAAGTCAACTGTAACACTGGGCGTAGCTTAAGCGTAGGAGATCTCAAGGCCCACCCCCACAGTGACACAGTTCCTCCAACAGGGCCAATCCTAATAGTGCTATTTTCTGTCAAACCACCACACACGGTTTAGGTCCTATCATCTTTATACTTAGTTCTTAACCTTGAAGCCAACACATTTGGAGATTTGATGTTCCATCCGAGCAAAGACAGGACCGTTTTCTGAATAACGCTGGTGGCCAGGCCGCGGTGGCTGAGAGCAATGGCTGCCCTTTCCATTCCCAGGCCATCATCTGTAGCTGCCAGTGAGGGATATGGTTCCCCTTTCTGCGTTTTGCAGTCCTGGCAGGTTTGTCTGTGCTGACCGCTTAGGTACTTCAGAAGGCCCGTGTCACACGCTCAGCTGGAAGATCCCTGTCCCCTCCTGCATTCTCTAGAGAAAGAGACCAGCAGAGGCGGTGCCTGTTCTGGGGCATACAGTATAGTGTTCAGCTTGTCTTTGCCAGTGTGTGCTGGGATCAGGGTAACCATGATGGCCAGGCGATTTGGCTGCTGATCCCTGCATCCCCCACTAGGTGGCGCTGGCATTCTGTCTGACTTGCTCCAGTTTCATGGGCTGAGATGCCAAGCCCTGTGCTGTGGGCAGACATCCTGGGAGACTGTTTTGAATGGCATCAGTCAAGCAGAGCTGTTGCGTAGTAGATCTTCGGGTATCCGGGAGTTTCTGGGGTTCAAGGCATCTATGTCCTATCCCAACAAGTGAGTCTGCCGTCCAGTTGGCTACACCTAAGACTGCTTGAGAGACCTGTTCTGGTCTATTCCACACTCTAATCATCACTGCAGACTAGCTGCTCATATAGACATTTACCTGGTTCTGCACCTTGCAGTAGTTTTGTCTGGCTGTTGATTAGTTATGTCAATCCTGATAAAGGAGGAAGACTTGACGGAAGTGAAATCACAGAAAAAAAAAACCAAATAAGCATAAGCAAAAAGGGGGCGGTCAAGGATCACATGCCAGAATGCCTGTCCCTACCGGTTTGAGTCTTGGCTCCACCCCTGCTCGTCTGATGGGGACAGAGCCTGGCTCCTGAGACACAAGGGCTCTTATCCAGTCCTCCTTTGACCATCTATTCTGTTTCAGGTCCTGTGGGGGGAAACTGAGGCCCCAGATGATCTGCCAAGGGGTCCAGACTGGTTAGCTGGACACACAGGCCTGCATCTCCCCTGACTTCTGGTGTCAGTTAGTGAGTGATGGAGGCAGAAAGCAGAAGCTGGTCCGGGTGTCTGGAGAGGCAAGGGGACCAGGTGCGGGGACCGAGAGGGAGCACATGGCCAAACATTAACCACCGAGCCTTCCCAGCTCTGTCGTCACATGTTCACTGTGTAGACAGATCATGGGTGTGGAGAGGCACAGGCTAACTCAGAACTTTGTGGAGACAGCGTCCCCCTAGGAGCCCCAGGCTGGCCTGGAGCTCCCCATTATTCTGGCGTCCGATCCACCATCTCCTCAACTCCCGTGTGCCGGAATTCTAGTTTGTGCCACGAATGTGGCTTTTAGTGGTCACGCTTGGTGCTCACAGCGAATGGGCCAGTGCTGGGCTCCGCCTTGCCTACCAAGAGCTTGTGTTTTCAACTGCTGGATAGGTCACCTGTGCTGCTGGCCCCCAGAGGCCACGCCCACCATGGGGATGGGTTTGGAGCCTCTGCAGTGGGAGCCGGAGACAGCAGTCATGGGGAGTGTGGTGCCACGGAGACTGTGGGAAAGCCAGGAAGCAGCGAGGACAGAACGGAGGTGTCTCGCCATGGAGTTGGGGAGGCCACTCCAGGGGGAGGGCCGGCCATAGCAAAGACGCGGACGTGTCATGGTCACTCAGGTAGGATGGTCTTGAAGGTCTGTGGTGGAAGCAGGGGATGGTTGTGAGGGAGGGAGGGGCCACAGTGGGCTCCAGGACTGGCGTGCTGACCAAAAGGACTTCAACTTGACCCTGAGAGGTCGTCAAGGACTCCTTAGAAGGAGCAGCTGTCCTCACTCCTTCCTTCCCTGCCCAAGGAGGACGCCCCAAGCTAACTGGCCATGGGAGGATTTGCTGAACGCTGCTCGGCTCCAGCTAGGGGAGGAGAGGGATCCTATCAGGGCCGCACAGCTGGGGGGAAGAGGGCTCCTATCAGGGCTGCTGGCCAGGTGTAGGGCAGGGCCAACCCTGGCTCCTCTTCCCCCAGTGTGGCCTCTGTTCTTTCTGGAACAGCCTCCCTATGAACTGAGCCACAGGCCCCCTCAAGAGGTTCTCCGTGCCCCGAGTCAGCACCCAGCTGCAGCCCACGACCAGGTCAGTGCAGGCTTTACTGAGGGGCCAAAGGCTGGAGAACGGGGCTTTCCTTGGGTGTCAACTTCTCTGCCATGCTGGGGGGTGTGTGAATAGTTACAAAAGAGCATAACAAAGAACAGAGAAGGCTTTATCTGGTTATGAGGGGGAAGGAATATTAACGAACCTGCCCAGAACAGATTGAGAGATTCTAGGAGCTCTGGGGCATCCTCCTTTTGTTGCTCGTTGAGGAACTGGGGCGCTCTGTCGTGGCAGCTGGTCGGTGCCTTGACCTAGCCCCGAGGAGGTGTGGGAGCTAGGCAAGTCTTGGTTGAACGTACCCGGTGGAAGTTAACCTTGTAATGGAGTGCTGGACCAAACATGCCTCAGAGTACCTGCAGAGCTGAGCAGGGTCAGATCTGAAGACAAAGGTTGCAAAGGGAGAGTCTGTAGGCCTGTCACTGCTTCTGCCTGGCTTCCCTGTGCCTGGAAAACACCGTAAGAAACAATTCTTACCGAGTACTGGCTTAGGCCATCCCAGTGGGGTAGAACTGCTTTTAGCTTTTAGCTCTCTGCCTAGGAAGCAAGTCAGTTTCTTTTTACCCTTTTAAGTATCTTTTGTTTGTTTGTTTGTTTGTTTTTTAGATTTTGTTGTGTTTGTTTTTAGAAATAGGGCCTCACTGTGTAGCCCTGGCTGGCCTGGCATTTGGTGTGTAGACCAGGTTGGCTTTAAATTTACAGTGATCCGCTTGCCTCTGCTTCTAGAGTGCTGGGCCACCACACCAGCCTAGATTTACTTTTCAAGTATGGATGTATTCATGTACACATATATATTCATGCACATATACATACATGTGGAAGCCAGAGGACAGCTTGTGGGACTCAGCTCCCTCATTTTACTAGGTGGGACCTGGGATTGAACTCTGCTCATCAGGCTTAGCCGCAAACACTCTTATCTGCTCTACCACCTTGCCCGCCCTCTACATAGCTCCTCGGGAAATATTCTGAAATGCAGGCCAAGTACTAGGCAAGGAGCTCGTTCTTTGCACTACTGTTTACACAAAGGGTTGGAAATGATGTGAAGTCCAGTGGTTAGGGACGATGGCGGACGGCTTTGGACAGCCCAGAGCACGTACAGAAACAGAGACAGGATGTGGCAGGATTCTAAGGCTTGGTTGGATGTAGGATGTGTGGGCCTTGGGGAGCCCAGGGGCACTGGTGAATTTGTACCCTGCAGGGCACAGGCATTGCTGTGGTTGGGAAGTGTTCACAATAGACTATGCATGAATAAGAGGACATCCTTCCGGTTGTTTAAGGAGCCCAAGGGAGGGGCACCAGAGGGTGAGACGTGGCTCAGAATGGTTTGGATTCATGGGCTAGCTCTAACACTTCTACGAAGACTGGGGATGTGAGCTAACCTCGTGGTCTTCCTTCTCTGATACGATGGGGCCACGGTGCTCCTCATCTCGTGGCACGAGCCTGGTGGCCTAATGAAGCGTATGTCCAGGGAGCCTTGTGTGTCCAGGCAATAAACGGCAGTCCCTATCATTAACTCACATATGTGTTCCTACTCTTGGATGGCTGCCAGGTCATCCCTTCTTATTTTCTGTGTACAAATTCAGATGTCTCCCATAGGTTCATCACCACCCGATCTTACTGGAGCGGGAAGCCTTTGCCTTGTCTGGAGCCTGGGGCTTGGGGTGAGCAGTTAGAGGCAGGTGACGAGCCGCTTTCTGCGGAGCCCGTGGAAGAGAAACACTCTGGATAAAGTCTGAGTGTTAGGATACAGTGCAAGGGGAACCTTGGCGCGTTCCACGGCGGGCGAGTTTGACCGAGGCGGAGGGACAGACACGCCAGGCAGACAGAGCTTAAGTGAGAAGTTTTATTAGAAACAGGAGGGAAAGGGGAAGGAAAGAGAAAAGAGGTAAAGAGACACAGAGACAGAGAGGACGGAAGAGAAGGACAGACAGGAAAACCCAGGGGACGGCAGGAAAGAGAGCATAGTGTGCGGAGAGGGAGGTGTCTTTCTTTTAAAGGGGTCCTTTGTACCTGGGCTGACCAGAGAACTGCCTGAGTGCATTCTGCCAGGTGACGGGGCAGGCCAGCGAAATGCCTGAGTCCTTACCCTGATCCCTGCCAGGTGCTGTGGAGGGGACCTGAGGGACGTAGCCCCTCGTGGCTTGCCTTCTCAGCAGCTGCTCCCCTTCCAATGCGCGGCTTGGCTTCTCCTCCTTGCAGTTTGGACCAGAGACCCCGCAGTTGACGCCATGGACCCATCAACCTGCGAGGGCTCCTCAGGTACTTATATTCGTCTGGCTTCTTCTCATTTGTGGCCTAGACCTCCATTACTGAGTGTAGAGTGTTGTGCCCAAATTCTGAACCCCAAAATCACCAAGAGACCCATTCTGAGGCAAAAGCAAAGAGTCTTTTATTATTTAATGCGTTAACTCCATTGACACAGACCCTCCATCCGTTCCACATGGCAGGTGGAATGAGAAGACTAGGAGAAACTGTGAGGTGGGAATTTATTAGGCAGCGTAACGGGGTATGCAATGGTCTCAGGATTGGTGCGCTTCCAGGCTTGGGCAACCTGTCCTGTGTTGACTGGTCAACTGGTTGTTATGGCCCATAGGCCCTCCCAGGGCAGTTGCTATGCTCATGCTCTGCAAGTCACTGTTAGGCCACTTTTACCATAAAGCACATCCAGAGCCCGCCAGCTAACTTTTGATTGGTTCCTTGCACTGTGGAGGGTAGCTGACCTCCTAGTGACTAGGGCAGCTCCTGCAAGGTCACAAGACTAGAAACTAAGCACACGCTGAGTCAGGGGCCTTTGTCTTGCTGGGTCTCTTCTGCAGCCTGTCATGGCTGCTAAAGCAGGGGGCTGGGTGAGGGTCTGGTCCCTTCAAGAGAAGTTGAGAGCAGAGAAGGTGAGACCCAAGGGGGACTATAAGAAGTCTTCCAATGCCAGCTGCCCTCCTGGGGGGTGCAACCAGGACTCACCTCCTCCCTGTCCCGCCTCCTCAGGTAGACCAGGGCAGGCTGGAAAGCTGACTCTGTGGTCACTGTCACTCCAACTCTTCCGGTCTGCCCTCTAACCTTACTCTTCTTTTCCAACTAGGGGGCAGAACCTTCATTGAGGAAGTCACTGAGTACCTCCGGCACAGAGCGGGTAGGGAAGATCTGCGTTTGCTGTTGGCTGAAGATGGAGCCTGGGAGGCCTTCGTGGCTGAGGCTGAGTTGTCCAGGTCACCTGCTGTTAGGCACTCCCTCCCTTTTCTGGATTTTCTTCCCTGTCTATGGATGGCACAGCCTCATTCACTATGTGCCTCCCAGACCCAGTGCCCTTGTTCACATGCTAATTCTCTCCAAGCCTTTTGGTGGATACACCCAGAACTGTGCTTTGGGATTGTCCCATCGTCTCTCAGTGACCTTGAGAGCCACCAAAAGGATGGCCCATACACCGTCTTCCAGGCTGACCTGGATCTTTCATTCTGGAGGTCAATGCCTTTAGTCTCCAGTTCCCTGGAGATCAGAAATGACCCCAAAGCCCCCACCACACAATGCTTGGTTAAGCCTGAGCACCTTATATGGGACGTGCCCGGGAACAGAAATGTTTTGGATCCTGAATTTTCCTGATTTTAAAATACTTTCAATATGGTACATCGTGGGAATGAGATCCAAGTCTCAAAGCAAAACACACTTCGATATTTTTTACACCTAGTGAACATCTTAACTTCTTATGTTCTTGTTAGCGCCCTTGTGTTTGAATGTGGCCGGTCCCCTAAAGTCAACAATGGAGCTTTCCATTGGGACACCATTTGAAGCTTTTCACACTTGGAATATTCAGCCAGAATTGCTCAGTTTGAATGAGCTTCCTGCCAAAGTCCTAGCCAGACGCAGATAGTCTTGGCTGGCAGGGCGTGACCTGGCCTACTGCTTGCGTCTCAGCAGCTGAGGGCAAAAGGAAGGCATTTCATGACACTAGCAAACATTCTATGAATTAAGGGTGACTTACACTCCAATCTTGCCCCCCTGTATTCATCAGCAGAGTCCGCAGTCCCCTCCTCTTCACCTCATCCCGACCCCGGCCTGTGTTGCTGGCCACAGGGTTACCCTTGAGTAAGAAAGCATCTCCATCAAACGCCTGACACTAAGAACATCTTTCTTTTTGTGTTTTTTGGACAAGGTTTGATATATCCCACATTAGCCTTAAACTCAGACATAACCAAAGACGACCTTGAACTTCTGATCTTCCTGCCCCTGATTCCCAAGTACTGGAATTACTGGCTTGTGACACGGTGCCTGGTTTTATGCAGTGGTAGACCCCAGGCCTCAGGCATGCTAGGCAAGCACTTTACCTACTGTACCAGTCCCCAGTCCTTAAAGAACATCTTTAAAAGGTTTTTAAAACCTTATTTCTGTTTTAAGTGCATGAGTCTTTGCCTGCGTGTGTATGTGTGTGCCTGGCGCCCACAGAAGCCAGAAGGCGCCATTGGATCCCGTAGAACGGGCATTTGTGCACTCCCTCGTGGGTACTAGGAATCAAACTTGGGAACTCGGCAAGAGCAAACAGTGCTCTTAGCTGCTCCTTCATCTCTCTAGCCTCAAGAGCATCTTAAACAAACAAACACATTTATTTATTCCTTTATTTTTGAAACAAGGTCTTTCTATATAGCTCTGGTTGTCCTGGAATTCTCTATGTAGACCAGGCTGACCTCAAACTCAGAGATCTGCCTGTCTCTGCCTCCTGAGTGCTGGAATTAAAGGATAGTGCCACAATGTCTGGCAATTTATTCGTGTGTGTGTGTGTGTGTGTGTGTGTGTGTGTGTGTGTGTGTGTGTACATGCACATACCTGTGGAGGCCACAAGAGGGTGTCAGATCCCTTGGATTATAGATGATTGCCAGCCTTTTGATCTAAGTGCTGAGATGCAAATTCCAGCCCTGTACAAGTTCAACGAGCAATCTTAATTGCAGAGCCCATTCTCCATCCCCCCAAGAGAATCTTAACATGTCTTTTACTGTTTATCCTCATTTACGAAGGACTATTTATCACTACCAAGCCTTCACCATCAAACGGAAGATTCTGTGTGTCTATAAAGTCCTTCCTGAGCCACAGAAAGCAGCTGTCATTTGCACAGGTCACGTGTCACGGGGCCTATAACAAACCATCTGTTTTATTATCTGACAGCACTGGGCATGGAACCCAGGCCCCATGCACATTAGACAAGCACTCTACCCTTGACCTAGGTCGGCAGCTAAACTCTCTCTCTTAATCCCCTGATGCCTGTTACAGAGCTGATGCAGACACATTGCGTGATGCTCTCAATGCCCTCACAGCAAACATGGCTGAGGAAGACCAAGACAGGTTCCAACATGACTTGCAGGACACGGAGAGTTTTGTGGATATGTTTCCTCAGGCGAAACTGGAACTCGAGGGGCACATCAGGAAGCTCCAGGTCCTTGCAGACAAGGTTGACAAGGTACACAGGGACTGCACCATCTCCAAGGTGGTGGCCGGCTCCACCAGCACTGTTTCTGGAGTCCTGACCCTCCTTGGCCTTACTCTGGTACCTGTGACAGCTGGGGCCAGTCTGGTGCTCTTGGCAACGGGGATGGGCTTGGGAGCAGCAGCGGCTGTGACTAGTGTCTCCACTGGTATTGTGGGCTACACTAGTGAGTCATCAGCCAAAACGAGAGCCAGCCACCTGATGTCAGCCAGCATGGTCAAAGTGAAGAAGGTTGCAGAGGCTCTGGTTCATTCAGGGCCCCAAGCCTACGAGTTGTCTGAGAATTGCTGCCGAGTCCTGCGATGCCTTCAACAGAGCATCTGTGTCATCAAGCTCACCGAAGCCAACCCTGCGTTAGCAGCCAGTGCCAAACACCTTCTGACCATAGAGAGCATCTCTGCCCAAAGTGACAATCAAGTGAAGAAAGCCTTTAGTGGCACTGCTCTGGCAACGAGCAGAAGAGACTGGGTCATGAATGTAGGCACAACAGGTGTGTCCCTCACTGGGGATGTGGTTGGCCTTGTGAAAGAATCCAAGCGTTTGCACAAGGGGACAAAAGCGAAGTCAGCTGAGGAGTTGAGGAAGCAGGCTCAGGAGCTGGAGGGGAAATTGAAGATGCTCATCCAGATCTATGACAGTTTGCAGTCAGGCTCAACTCAGTAACATGCTTCCTCCCCAAAGCAGTGCAGAAGTCTGGGGAGGTGTTTGGGGCAGAGACAGGGCCATGTTAAGAGGAAATCAAGCCCCTCTAGCAAGGTGTTCAGGACTCAGACATCTCTTCTTTTATTTTTTCTTTTATTCTTTTTGGTTTCTCGAGACAGGGTTTCTCTGTGTAGCTTTGGAGCCTATCCTCGCAATCGCTTTGTAGACCAGGCTGGCCTCGAACTCACAGAGATCCACCTGCCTCTGCCTCCCGAGTGCTGGGATTAAAGGCATGCACCACCAACACCTGGCTGACATATCTTTTCAAAACCTTTGTTTTGTTGTATATGCATGTGTGTGTATCTGAGCATGTGGGTGTAGGTGCACTCAGAGGCCAGAAGAGGGCATCAGATCTCCTGGAGCTGGAAGTTGTGAGCTACCTAATATAGGTACTGGGAACTTAATTCTTGTCCTCTGCAAGGCAGCCAGTACTCTTAACTGCTGAGCCACTTTTTCCAGCCAGGGTTTGCCATTTCTGTGTCCGAGCACTGCAAGACAAGTTCAGGTAGCTAATGGAGCAAAGAGAAAGCAGCAGGAGCCTGAAACAAGGGTCCAGAGGGGACTAGAGAGTGTACTAGTGGAGGGTCCTCCGAAACAGTCGATTTCAGAGGAAAGACCACTTTTGGGGGCTTGGACAAGGAGGGCTGTGTAGGAGCAAGCAGCGAGAAGGCAAGGAAACCGACAGGCTGGGGATGGGAGAAAGCCAGAGAGTTCTGTATGTGGAGGAGCCACAGTGACTTCCTAGGATGGCAGTGGTGGTGGTAACAAGGATGGTGGCCACACCAGAGTGGGCACATCAGTTGTCAAGGGGCCAGGGTGCCCAGAGGGCAGTGCTGGGGAGTGACTGAGATTGGAGTGACAGGTCAAGAAACTTTGTGGTGTGTTGAGGGCAGCCTGCGGTCAAGAGATGCACATGCTCAGAGCTACAGCCCAGAGCACGTACAGCCCAGAGCTTAATAAGAATGAGCTCAGTTCCTGCCATACAGTTCTGTCAATTTCCTTCTACTTGCCCTATGAAAAGCTCCCAAGGCAAGTAGTTTCGTGTTTTTCCCTCTTGGGACCCATGCTACTCCCAGGGATTTTGCCCATGTTAACTTTCCCTTAACAGAATCTGCCCTTGCTTGCTCTGGGTGTGTCCATGTCATTAATCATTGTTGACATGAGACAATGTGCTTGAGAGTCGCAGTCTCAGTTGACTTTTGGTGATCGAGTCCTTGAGTCAGGCCCCTTTGACCTGAGAAAGTCCCTGTTGTTTTCCGCATCAGAAGTGAGCAGACTGAGTCATCTCACTGGCCCTCTCCTCATTTTTGGAGACAATGTTTCTTTTTTTTGTGTATTTTTTTTATTTTAATTTTAAATAGCTTGTTTTACATGTCAATCCCAGTTCCCTCTCCCTCCCCTCCTCCCGCACTCCCCTTCCACCCTCCCTCCCACCCTATTGCCAAATCCTTCCACATAGGGGATGTCTAGAGTCTATCATTTTACTCTTGGTAGGGTCAAGGTACTCCCCTAAGAGTCCAGGCTGAGAGAGCATCTCTCTTTGTGCTATAGGCACATGAAGACAGATTGTATACCAGGGATAGACACTGATCCACAGCTCAGGGCCCCATAGGTTGTCCAGGCCTTCTCACTGACACTCACATTTGGGGGGTCCAGATCAGTCCCATTCTGGCCTCCCCACTGTCGGTCTGGGGTCCAAGAGCACTCCCCTGTTCAGATCAGCTGTCTCTGCTGGTTTTGCCAGCCCATTCTTTGCCAATTTGCTCATCATTCCTCTCTCTCTGTCACTGGGTTCCTTGGGTTCAGTTCAGTGCTTAGCTGTGTGTTTGCCTCTGCTTCCATCAGTCCCAGGATGAAGGCTCCCGGATAGTTATAGACATCAAGTTCATTATCAGGAATGGGCATTCGAGGTGGTCCCTCCACTATTGCTTAGCTTGCCAATTGATGTTATACCTTTAGATCACTCGAGGTCACTCTGGTGCCTGATCTGTCTTCGATCCTATGATTCCCTCTTCCCCCTATTCTACCCCCACCCCCTCAACTTCCTGTTCCCCCATGACCAACTCCCTTCCTCTTTACCCCCTCTATTCTTCCCAGGTCCCACTACCCCCCCTCGCCCTGTTCCCCATCCATTCAGAGGATCTTGTCTCCATCCTCTTCTCTTGGGTACTATGCATATATGCATATCTTTTAGGTTCTTTCCTGTTTCCCAGACTCTCTATCTGTGGGAGTGCAGACTGGCACTATCCTGATCCATATCTAAAATCCATATATGAGTGAGTACATACCATGTTTGTCTTTTTGCGACTGGGTTACCTCACTCAGGATGGTTTCTTCCAGTGCTATCCATTTCCCTGCGAATTTCAAGATTCCATTGTTTTTTTCTGCTGAGTAATACTCCATTGTGTAAATGTACCACATTTTCTCTATCCACTCTTCAGTTGAGGGGCATCTAGGTTGCTTCCAGGTTCTGGCTATTACAAACAATGCTGCTATGAACATAGTGGAGCAGATGCCCTTGTTGTATGAACCTGCCTCATTTGGATAAATGCCTAAGAGTGGAATTGCTGGGTCTAGTGGTAGATTAATTCCCATTTTCCTGAGGAATCTCCATACTGATTTCCAAAGAGGCTGTATGAGTCGGCATTCCCACCAGCAGTGGAGGAGTGTTCCTCTCTCTCCACATCCCCTCCAGCATAAATTGTCTTCGGTGTTTTTGATTCTAGCCATTCTGACAGGAGTAAGATGGTATCTCAGAGTTGTTTTGATTTGCATTTCCCTGATGGCTAAGGATGTTGAGCACTTTCTTAAGTGTCTCTTGGCCATTTTAGCCTCCTCTACTGAGAATTCTCTATTTAGCTCTGTACCCCACCTTTCAAGTGGATCCTTTGGTGTTTTGGAGACTTGTTTCTTGAGTTCTTTGTAAATTTTGGAGATTAGCCCTCTGTCAGATGTAGGGTTAGTGAATATCTTTTCCCATTCTGTGGCCTGCCTTTTTGTCTTTTTGATTGTGTCCTTTGCCTTACAGAAGCTTTTTAGTTTCAGAAGGTCCCATTTGTTAAATGTTGATCTCAGTGCCTGTGCCACTGGTGTTATGTTTAGGAAGTGGTCTCCTGTACCAACTCGTTGAAGAGTATCTCCCACTTTCTCTTCTAAAAGTTTCAGTGTGGCTGGATGTATGTTGAGATCTTTGATCCATTTGGACTTAAGTTTTGTACAAGGCGATAAACATGGATCTATCTGCAGTCTTCTGCATACCACTACCCAGTTATGCCAGCACCATTTGTTGAAGATGCTTTCTTTTTTCCACTGTACAGTTTTAGCTTCTTTGTCAAAAATCAGGTGTTCATAGGTGTGTGGGTTAAAATTAGGGCTTTCGATTCGGTTCCATTGGTCTACCTGCCTATTTTTGTGCCAATACCAAGCTGTTTTCAGGACTATAGCTCTATAATAGAGCTTGAAGTCAGGTATGGTGATGCCTCCTGAAGTTCCTTTATTGTATAGGGATGTTTTGGCTATCCTGGGCCTTTTGTTTTTCCATATAAAGTTGATTAATGTTCTTTCCAGGTCCTTGAAGAATTGTGATGGAATTTTGATAGGGATTGCATTGAATCTATAGACTGCTTTTGGCAAGATTGCCATTTTTATTATGTTGATCCTACCAATCCAAGAGCATGGGAGATCTTTCCATTTTCTGGTATCTTCTTTGATTTCTTTCTTCAAAGACACAAAGTTCTTGATATACAGGTCTTTCACTTCCTTGGTTAACATTATCCCCAGATATTTGATGCTGTTTTTGGCTATTGTAAAAGGTGATGTTTCTCTGATTTCTTTCTCAGTCACTTCATCATCTGTATATACTAGGGCCACTGATTTTTTTGAGTTTACCTTGTATCCTGCCACATTGCTGAAGGTGTTTATCAGCTCTAGGAGTAACCTTGCGGAGTTTTTTGGGTCACTTATGTAAACTATCATATCATCTGCAAATAATGAAAGTTTGACTTCTTCTTTTCCTATTTGTATCCCCTTTATCTCCTTTTGTTGTCTTATTGCTGTAGCTAGAACTTCAAGTACAATATTGAAGAGATATGGAGAGAGTGGACAGCCTTGTCTTGTTCCTGATTTTAGAGGAATTGCTTTGAGTTTCTCTCCATTTAGTTTGATGTTAGCTGTTGGTTTACTGTATATTGCTTTTATTATATTCAGGTACGTTCCTGTTATCCCTGATCTCTCTAGGACCTTTATCATGAAGGGGTGCTGGATTTTGTCAAAGGCTTTTTCAGCATCTAGTGAGATGATCATGTGGTTTTTCTTTCGCAGATTGTTAATATGGTGGATTACATTGATAGATTTTCTAATGTTGAACCATCCCTGCATTCCTGGAATGAAGCCTACTTGATCATGGTGGATGATTTTTCTGATGTGTTCTTGAATCCGGTTTGCAAGTATTTTATTGAGTATTTTTGCATCAATGTTCATGAGGGAAATTGGTCTATAGTTCTCTTTCTTAGTTGTGTCTTTGTGTGGCTTGGGTATCAAGGTAATTGTAGCCTCGTAGAAAGAGTTTGGCAGTGAGCCTCCTGCTTCTATAGTGTGGAATACTTTGACGAGTATTGGAATGAGCTCTTCTTTGAATTTCTGGTAGAATTCTGCACTGAAGCCATCTGGGCCTGGGCTTTTTTTGTTTGGGAGACTTTTGATGACTGCTTCTATTTCATTAGGGGTTATAGGTCTGTTTAGATTATTTATCTGTTCTTGATTTAGTTTTGGCAAGTGATATCTATCCAGGAAATTGTCCATTTCCTTTAAATTTTCAAATTTTGTGGAGTACAGATTTTCAAAGTATGCCCTGATGATTCTCTTGATTTCCTCAGAGTCCGTTGTTATGTCCCCTTTCTCATCCCTGATTTTGTTAATTAGCATGTTCTCTCTCTGTCTTTTGGTTAGTTTGGACAGAGGTTTGTCTATTTTGTTGATTTTCTCAAAGAACCAACTCTTTGTTTCATTGATTCTTCTCAATGTTTTCCTGGTTTCTACTTGATTGATTTCAGCCCTCAATTTGATTATTTCCTGGCGTCTGCTCCTCCTGGGGGAGTTTGCTTCTTTTTGTTCTAGAACATTCAGCTGTGCTATTAATTCTCTAGTATGACTGTTCTCCAGTTTTT